GCCTTGGGCGGCCCCGGCGCACCGTCCCCCGACGACGCCAGCTCTTCAGCCTCCAGCTCCAGGATGTGCTCGTCCGCGCGCGCCAGCTCGCGCTGCTGGATCAGGCTCAGGATCTCCAGCACTGTGGGGGCAAGGCGGGCGGTCAGGGGAGGGGGCTGAGGGGGGTCGGGGGCAATAGGAAGGGGTGGGGAGGTAAGGGCAAGACGGCTGGGGAGGCGGGAAGGTGTGGGCAGAGGGAGGAGCCAGGGTTAATGGGAAGGGTCAGCAGAAGGGGTGTAGGGGAGGAGGCAGATGAAGGAGGGAGGAGGGGCTGGGCAAGTTGAGGATGGTAGGGGTGGAGGGAGGAGTGGGGACTAGGCATGAAAGAGGGGGTCTGGAGAGGAGAGGAGAGAAAGTAGAGGGAGGAAAAGACCCGGGGGAGGGGGTGGGAGAGTGAAAGAGGAGGAGGGAGGGTGCCTGAGAATGTGAAAGGCGTCAGGGGAAGTGAGGGGTTAGGGTAGGAGGTTGGGGAAAAGAGACGGAGAGGGTTCGGGTGGGGATGGGGGGTAAGGGGCCCAGGAATGGAGAAGAGATTCAGGGAGAAGGTTAGGGAGGGTGTCAGAGAGTAGGTTAGGGAATAGGAGAGAGGTTAGAGGAGTTGAGAGGTTCGGGTACGAAAAGTGCATCAGGGGCTACAGAAAGAGATCCCAGGGAGGTGAGAGGGGTTAGGAATGGAGGAGGGGTTGGGGAAGGTGGGAGGAGGTGAGGGAGAGCAATGAGAGCCAGGTAAGGGGAGAGGGGGATGGAGAGAGCCAGTGGGCAGGTTGGAGGCTTGGAGGTGGGGTGAGGACTCAGGACCAGAGATGGGGTCTTTTGGGGGTGGAGATGGCCGTGGGGGGATCTGGCACTCTGTGGAATTCAGACTTCACTCAGAAAGGAGGGTCATAGGGTTGGCAGGCTTCTGAGAGAAGACAGAGGGAGGGTCCCAGCGGCCTAGGGTTACCCCTGACACCTCCTCCCCCCTCTGCTTCCTCCCTGGCAGAGAAACTATTTCCTGGCCAGCGCTATTTCTGCCCATCCGTTTCCAGAAGGCGGGGGCTCCAGTCACCCCCTCCTCATCTCCCTGCAGTGCCCTCCCAGTCCCCAGGGAGCTGGGGCTGAAATAGCCTCTGGCCAGGATGTAGAGGGCATCAGAGGACGAAGACAGGGGTGTCCCAAGGCCCCCAGCCCTGGAGCAGCCTGTGCCTGAGGGGAGGACCAGAAGTGGGGATGGGGTGGAGGAGTGGAGATAAAGATAGATTTAGTGATAGGGTTGAATTAAAGTGGAGGTTGGGACAGGGTTGGTGTTGGGGGTGGAGTTTCAAGGATGAAACGGGGATGAGACTGGAGATGAGGAAGATGGGGGTTGGGATGGGAAGTTTAGGATTAGGATGAGATTGGCATTGGACTCGGTAGAGAGGTGGAAATGGAAAAGGTGTTGAGAGTGGCATTGGGGCTTGGATATGGATGGAGCTGGAGATGAGTTAGGGTGAAAGTTGAGGATGGATGAAGGTAGAGGTTGATGTGAGCTTTAAGATGAAGTTGGGACCTGAGTAGGGGTTAGGAGTGGGACTGTGGATGGAGTTGAAGATGGAGGTTGGGGAGGGGTGTTTAGGATTGGGATGGAGTTGAGATTGGGATTGGGGATGGAGATGGGATTAAGGATGAAGGAGGAGGTTTGAGGATGGGATTGGGGTTGAAATTGGGGTCTGGAAAGGGACCAGGAATGGGGATAAGATTGAATAAGGAGGCTGGGGAGGGGATTGGGTTGAAGGTGGATGCTGAGATGGGCCTGGATTTAGGATTAGGAGTGAGACTGAAGAGGGGAAAATAGTTGAAAGTGAACATGAGGTTGGGATCCAGGATGAGATTAGAGTAGAGGAATGGGACATGAGCTAGGACTGGAGTTGGGATTGTCGTGGTCTTGAGCATAGAGATGAGGTTAAAGATGGCCTTGGGAGAAAGGAATGGGTTGGGGATAAGCACGTGGATGTGTCTCAATTTGGAGATTGATGATGGGGTTGGACTAAGTATAGGGTAGAAA